AAAAAAATACAGTTTCGTGACAACCCTACGCTAGCGTCCTAGCAACACAGGTTACTGAGGACAGTGCCCTCTCTATGCAGAAATGCACACGACTTTAAATACAATTACAATGCACCTTAACACAACTGAATAAGGTTTAAAATCTTACTATTAGTTATAAAGTGATCTTTGTATTGTCTTTTCGTGTTGATAGTTTTATTTGCAGTTACTATTAATCTTTTTGCGTTGGAATAGAGTCCATTTTGGCTTGTATAATGTTGACGTTAAGTTTGTTAGATCTTTACTGGAGAGATCCCGTCGAGCGTTACCACGGATTCTAGATGGTCGAATAAAAATAGAGGAAACTTTTACGTTCCTCCAAGTGTAAGGGAAAGTTGTTCGTTTTGTTTTTGTAATAACTATGAGAGTAAAACAATGTTTATGTGGTGTCCATTACAATATTATTTATTAAAATGGGCATTGGAACAGGCTGTTATAAAATTGATTAAAAATCCCATTTGCACTGATGGAATTTTTTGACATATATCAAAAAACAAATATATAGATGGATGTTAGTTAGAAGGTATTACAAGAACGGGTCAAGTATCGCGATGAAATTTGACACAGAAGTAGAACAAAATTTTAAAGAACACATATCATACTAAGATTTTATTTTAAATTCCGCTCAGACGAAATCGCGGACAAAAGTTAGTATTAAATATAGCCTATATCACTCAGTGACAATGTAGCTTTCTAATGGTGAAATAATTTTTTAAATCGGTTTAGTAATTTTTGAGTTTATGCGTTACAAAGAAAAAAATATTTTTCTATAACAAAACATTAAAACAAATGATTTACAGTAACCTATTACTGTTATATAGTATCCGATCAAAATGTCAATAAAAACTTAAAAATACTTATGTCATCATCATCGTCTCCCTTGCCTTATCCTACTCCTGTAGTGTCGGCGCACCGGGTTTTCGTCCTCCAAAGCACTCTATCATCCGTCATCTCAGTCATCACTCCCTTCTTGATCATGTCACCTTTCACGCAATCCATCTCTTTCTAGGTCTGCCTCTACCGGTGTACTTCCACATTCATAACTAACGTCCGTCTTGTTACATGCGATTCATCCCTTCTCATAACATGCCCATATCATAACCTTTTAAATACTTTTGTATGTATTTTCTTGTCCATCAAAGTTGAAATTAAGTAGTCAACTTTAAGTTTACCAATTGACAAGTAACACACACTGTAATTACACAAAAATAAACTCCATTTATAAACCACGTACTTTCGAACAAAATGAAAATAAAAATCGATTTTAGACATCGAGTAATCGTGTTAACGCCCGATCGATTTTTTCCCTTTTTACATCGTAAACGTGCTCTAGTGATGTGCCTGATTAATCGATATTAGTAAAGCAATAAAGTTCTTACAACCAGTTCACTCCAACCCTATTAGACTGCACCTTTGACTATAGAAAAACGGACTAAGTGAACCGCTGTATTCATTTTTTTTTACTTTCGCAAAGGGTGTTGAGAAAGTGATATTTATGTCGAATTGTCATATATTTGTGAACGTATTTTGACTTAAAATATACACTTACAAAAAAGCACACAAAAGAATTGTTTTGTCTTCCGTCGCACGGATCCTGTCTCTTAAAACTCAAAGAATTGGATTGAGCGAATTTATTTTTATAGTAACTTTTTTTAAAAAGATCTATTATCTTTCTCACGTAAGGATATCTAGTGTTGCGAATTAAGATGTATCGATAGTTTTTCTTTAACTTAATTATAGATTAAGTTATCAGATGAGTGAGTATAAACGATAGTAAGTTTATAGCTAACGTTTATTTTAAACTTGTTTATACGGAGTTTATAAGTAGTCAATACATTAAAGATGTAGTTAGTGATATGTTTTTAAATTTATATTTTTCTTGTCAATTATCATAACCTTTTCCTTCATCATCTGATCTTGTCCCTACGGAGGTCAATCAACCAGCATACTTGAAGTCTCTCTCTTCTTAAGCTATCTATACTATTATAATAAAGCGTAAACACACACTTCTTTGTTGTCTAAGATGTCAGCAATCACAGCATATTTTTGAATAATTCTTTTCGTAATAAAAAGCCCTACACTTACGTCATGCTTTAGGTTATATATTTTCACGCCATTAAACATTAAACATAAAAATATTGGATAAAAACCCTAATGTGTGAAAGGGACCATAAGCTACAAGCTGCCGACATCAAGGAAGAAGACTGCCATGGTTTGTCTTCATGTCATGTCATTTTGACATTTGCAATTGATTATTTGACAAATGGAAACAAAATAAAACTTTCATAAATCCACGCGAATGAAGCAGCACGGGAACAGCTAGTCTCTTATACAATCCATCCATACTTTTTTCTTCTTCCTTGGTAGCCACATTCAATCTTAATATCTCCACGTTTTATGGTCGTCATCTCTTGACATTATACTGTACGTACTTTTCTCTCATGATTCCGCAATATAAAACATCGATATGAATCAAACAACGTAACATCACTATTTCAAAGGTATATTTTGGCGGTATTGAAATTTTGTAGGTTATAATTTAGATATCACAATCTGCTTCTAAGAAGGCATAAAAGTTTAAATTCAGTCTAGACTATAATGGCATTCCAAATGCTCGGAAATATGTAGATGTTAGGACCAGTTTACAATACAATTACTAACATCAAATGTATGTCTAAATATTTGATTAGTCATGTTGGCACACCTGAGAGGAATGACTCGAATGAACGAATGAATAAATATTTTTTTTGTATCAATTTTAAAAAGTTTTTTAAATCAAATTATTATTTATTAATGAAAGGATTTGTTAATTGCAAAATTATAGTTTAAAATATAGCAAACTAGCAGTAATTCGCCTGCGTGAATTCAAAAAGTAATAAAATGATATAACCAATGTTACTGACTGATAAAGTAGTTTTTTATTGGTGAAAGAATTTTTAAAATCGGCCCAATAGTTTTTATGTGAATTGAATACATACATAAAAAAACACAAATCTTCCCTCTTATATTATTAGTATAGATACAATTCAATTATTTACAGATTTAAAAGTTAAAAATTGCTTAAAAAATAACCCTTCAATGTCATTGACATCACAAGGAACCCGTCCTAGCGATAGATGGCGTTGTTTTTTATTTTATTTGCTGTATTTGTAATAAGGTTTTATGAAGTGCATTTCTAATGATTACATATCTTATGCAAATAAATACAGTCTGCTAAATTAAAAATGCTGCACACGAACGAATGACTTTGTTATGTCTGCTATAACTGTATAGGAATTGTACAGAGTAATTATTAACAGAGATTACAGTGACATCTTAATTGTTTTGCAGCGTAATCAAAACTGTTCAATCTCTATTGCTTTTTGTTTTAATGTTGATTACTCTATTAGCTAGTATATTTTAAAGCATTTTGCATCATCCAATATTATTTATATTAGCACTACGTTTAATCGTCGCTCATTATTCAGTCACTTTATTACATTTCTCTATCGCAAATTTATATACGGAATAAACTAGTCAGTGTAGATGTTACGTAAGTTGCATTTATTCTACTATTAAAAAAAAGGATTATGACAGATAAAAAGGCCAAAGAAAACAAAATAAAAAACCGCTTTATCGCTAGTTAATGTATGGAACACTTACATTTCCCTGGGGATCGATGAGCTGCGCGTACTTGGGTGCCTTGGCTTTGCTCCCGTCGGCAAAGACACCCGCCAGGCGCAACGGCGTGCCAGGACGCGCCGCTGCCCGCTCGTATTGGGCGCCAACCCGTCCATTCTCTGGAAAATGTTGATAATTTTTTTGAAACTCTTCCACAATACTCTATCGTGATATTACTGTTTGTAAGCTGTATAATTGCATTCTATGTTAATACTGAACATATTTTTATATCTACTTAATTAAAAAAAAAATTCAACGCAGACACCCATCATAGTATATAGTAGCTATACAACAAGCGGACAGAATATAAAACAATTAATTGAATACGATCTCTCTGTAACATCATTACTCTATGCCTCATATCCTGTAATAGGCGATGCGTTCATTACGCGGCATTCTCGCGACCTCATATAGAAATGGTCAGCGACAGTTAAAGGTATAATAATTTCGTATTTCCCAAGAGTCTTCTAATATAGTTATTAATTATTCATAAACAGAGAACATTTTAATTTGAGTTAATTATCACAATGGAGAGCCATTTTTTTTTGGATATCTGAAGCAAGAATTACTAAAATCAATCAATTTGAACGTTCCCCTATATACGTTATATTTGTTATACCTGAGCTAGGCCTCGCTCTATACGCAGAGATGGCACGCGGGGATACGAGGGCGAAGGCCTGCGAGCGCAGCAGGGCCGCCACGGAGCCCCGTGCCGTCGCTAGTGCCCCGCCGCGGCAGCCGCACGCCGAGAACCAACCTGGAACAATAAATGATTACATAAAACAGAACTAACGATACGAAAGTAAATATATCAGACTTCAAGAATATTTACGGACGATTAACAGTAAATATTAAAAGATTTTTTTATTATAACAATACTTTGGTTTCAAGTATTTTGCTACTCAACGACAGATGGCGTAATTTAATTGATAAAAATCAAATGTTTAAAATTATCTACACTTAACATAATTTACATAAAATTACTCTATATCTCGAGAAACAAGAATTTATAAACACTACAAACTCCAGTATTGCCAGTTGGCAATATCGCATGTCCTCAACACGTAACATTCGTTACGTCGCGAATCCTGCGCCAAATGGCAACACTCGCCCCTCCTGACGCAAGAGGTCATTGTGTTAACCCCTCGCGTGTTTTTGTTGCATTCTTTCGTTAGAATCGTTTTCCTGTTTAACGAGTAGAACACGGTCAGGACCGGGTTAAGGCGTGCATTTAGGTAGATCTAAGATAGGTTATGTAACAATGTGCTTAATTAAATTACGCTTTTACATTTATTTTACAACATATTTAGAATACTATATGTTATTATTGCAATAGCCGGTAATCTAATCTGAAGATTAGATACATGTGCTAGAAGAATCATTTCATACAAACCGGTTATAACGAGTTCAATAAATATTTTTATTATAAGCTGTATTAAAGGGTATTGGTGACGGTGAAAATAGTTCAATTAGTTTAATTGCATCCACCAACAGATGGCACTGTTTTAAATAGCATTCCGTACGCCACAGACGTAGTAAAATGGTCGTTGTAAAAAGTCTGTCGGGCACATAACGCGGTTGTTAGCCCGCGCTCCGCCACTCTCACTGACACAGACTACCTACTACAGACAGTACTCAAAAAAAAGATATTAAACAAGAATGTTTCCGCAAAAACAAACTTTGAATCGTCATTCAAAACTAAACATCTTTTAAAATAAGTCATTTCAAATTGACATAATGTTTTAAATATATAACGGAGATAAATATAACAGTGCTTTTTAATTTTACCTTCAATTCTCGATCCTATAAAAAGGAAGTAATTTATAAAAACGCGTATTCCAGTATTTAGACTGAATATTTTTAGTTAAGATGGTCAGTATTCATTTAAATTCACATTTATGTTTACTCCAATCCAGTTTCCGATATTTTTTCCGTTCAACGCATTAAAAACGATTGTTGAATATTTATTGTCGTCAAGTAGCATTGTATGGAAAGTTGCGGTGCGAATGTTGCCGCCGGACGAGACGGCTGCGGCGTGTGATTGGCATTGAATGAAGACACCGGTTTATATTTACTGGTATTTTACTGAATTTGGAAAACTTGTACATTGTTTATATTAACTCTTAAAGAATACAGTGAATACGGAACAACATTTCAAGAGATATGTTAACGAAAACATCGAAAATAAACTTGGGACAAAAAGACTGAGTTTGAGAAGATATTTATCCAAAGTTATAGGCTTACTACCTTCATGTACTTTGAACCTTTTGGTATCGAGAGGCAAACTTCATAGTTACCATGCTTTTTGGAGAGATATGCTTATGAGAGATTTGAGTCACTAAAACCATATCGGTGGCCATTCTCGAATCCGAATTAAGAAAATACCGCGGTCTCTAGAGAAACGCACTCAAAAATTACTGGACTGATTAAAAAAATACCATTAATAGCTACGTTATTACTGAGTAACTTAGGCTATTTTCATTTTTTTTTCAATTTACGCGGACGCAGTCGCAAGCTGTTAGTTCTTTATACATTCTAAGCTCTGTATATTACGATTGATTATAAATTCTAAATGCGTTTTTTACGTACTGTTTGCGGATACAAGACAACGACAAATCAAAGTCGTTTGAGGAAAACCCTTGGTCATATTGCGTAAGGTTTTAGAAAAGTGAGTAATGCAGAATTACAAGTGTCTAACTTTTTCTTATTCTTGCAATACTAATGTGTAACATTTTAAAATATAAAAAAAATATGCAAATGCAAAAATGTTATTTTTCTGAATGCTCTTTGTATAGCTACACTGTGCAATAGGATTGTTCGCTTTGCGGGCGATTTTTATGAGTAGAAAAAGTCCAGGAACGTCCGACCTTCTTCCAAGGACGCCCGCTCTCCCCTCACCCCACCCCGGGACGTCTCCCCGCCCCGAGGAATATGAGATACTTTTTATATCGTATTGACCGGGCAACAACCGTCTTAGATGGAGTTTGTAAAAGGTATAACGTATTCAAATACGTATATTTTAACGTTTGAATTAGTTTTTGTTTATTGCGTGTGCGCAAGTGATTAATAGAAAAATAGATAATGCGAAAATAATAATTACATCACTTTTTAACACTAGATGGCGTTGCATTAAAATATCAAAAGGATTAAAATTATAACGACTAGCTGTTGCTCGCGACTTCGCCCGCGTCAAATAAAAAAATAGAACCTATGTTACAGACAAATTACTTTTCTAATGGTAGAAGATTTTTTAAAATTGGCCCAGTAGTTTTTGAGTTATTTCAATACATACAAAATTTATTAAGTATTAGCTGTGGCTCGCGACTTCGCCCACGTGAAATTAAAAAATAGTTAAAAACCACAGCTTATGTTACTCACAGATAAATTACCTTTGTAATGGTGAAAGAATTTTTGAAGTCGGCGCAGTAGTTTTTACATGAATCGAATACATACAAAAATTCAAAAATACAAATCTTTCCTCTTTATATTATTAGTATAGATAGATATACTGGTTTCTCAGTATTAGACGCACAATTAACGTAAAATTTCACAGCAGTTTAGTATAAAATATAATGTCATCTCTTTCGTTTTCATTGAAATAAAAGAGATAAGAATATGTATTACAGACGTTAACACTCATAGTTACGCTGTAACGAGCTAATGGTGTGTTTTTATTGCTCTTTCTACATAATACAGAGGTTCCAAATCTTTGGATCATTTTGAAAACAGTCAGTTCTGTTGCGATGTTTAAAGAAAAAAAAAAAAAATAAAAAAAAATAAAAAAAAAAAAATAGTGATGGTTAAAGAAAATATTTTAAATGAAACAGAATAGATGTGTTTAAGCTTGGACTCACTGCTACTTTGAAAGACGAAAGCAAATTGTCGATGATTGAATTTTAAAAGCCTTTTTATGGTATTTTTGTATTGTTTTTATATAATTATTTTTGATAAATATAAACTACTAATTTCTACCGAGGTACATGTAAAAACAGTTGGTAGTTTTTAAGTCAAAAAAATAAAGTGAAATTTGAGGGTGGTCGGCATATAACTTGTAAGTCGACCAGCGAACAAACTGTGCGCACCCGTTGTTTGTGAAACTTGTGTTTTATTTCGTCTCCTCATCTCCGCATACCTGCATTTAACTGCGAATCGAACTATACAATGTCCAAATACGCTTACATAAATAAAGGGTATAGTATTGGTTTAGAATTAATTTTAAATTTTCTTTCGACCACGAGTTGTTCACCCCTGACGGACTGCGTATCGCGGTCGGTCAGCGTTTGCGTAATTAAAGTAAAGGTTACGATTAACATAATAATAAAGCTTATAATACGTTTGTTATTAATATAATTAAAACAAAAATAAGTAGCATATGTGTTCTACCAGATTATGCTCTAAATATATGCCAAATTTTATCGAGATCCGTTCAGCAGTTTAGGCTACAAACTCTAACAAACATCCATCTAAACTTTCGCATTTATAATATTAGTAACAATGTTTTTAATTTTAATTGTCTTGTATTTGTATCTCTTTGATCCTTTTATTAAAAGATATTTCGCTTTTACTACAAATATATATACTCGAATTACTATTTCATTATTTTCAAATGATACTGTACGCAAGTTTAAAGTCTAGGTCTAGGTTTTATCAGCAAAACCTTATGTAGGCTATACTGGAGTGGAGTTCCCTAAGATCTGATACACAATTTTACAGTTAGCGCCTGCGGAGTTTGTATTGAAATTAGATTTATTATTGTTTTACTTTCTAAATGCTTTGATTACTTGTGTCTAATTATTAAACAGAGCCAAGTTCACTAAAGACTCTTAGTGTAGATTTAGTAAGAGAGGTATACAATAGCAAAAAAATCTTGGATGAAGTATAAATCAAAAAGGTGATCGCGTAATGAATGTAATTTAAAATACTTACCAATAGATGGCGTTAGAGTCGAATTAAAACATGCTATTACTTCTTGTGAATTACTATAAAGTGCAAGTAACTTAGTTTTATGATTAATTATAACTCGTAAAGAACAGGAAGTGACGTAGTAAGGCTGAGATCACACAGATCTAGGCGTAGTTCCGGCGCGACATTCACGGTTTGTTGCACTGTGTGTATTGTCCAATAACAAATTGATTACACTGCATTTCCTTTTATATTCTTAATATCTCTAAGTCCTTGATAGGAAAATTGTAGTTATTTAAGAGGCGGTTTAAAAAATAAATACCAAGTATAATTGTTTGTATGCAGTCTTAACTATCTACATTTTCTTTATCATAGGACTTATTACGAAAATTCGTGAGAACTGTTTCGTCATCGACAAAAATTTTATTTGTGCAGCGTCTATTCCGGTAAAGTACACCAACAAATCATACACAAGGTCTTTAAAATTCACTTTCGTAATAGTCACGTTCGTGAATGACTCTTAGTCTATACTAATATTATGAAGAGAAAAGATTTGTATTTTTGTAAAATTCATATACCATTAAAAAGCTACATTATCAGGGAGTAACATAGGCTATATCTATTATTTTTTTAATTTCACGCAAGCTTGTACGTAAGACATTAGATAGTAGAGTAGTCCATGTCAATCAGTTTGACGCGATGTCAACTGTCAGTTTTACCATACAATGACCGGTTTACTACAAACATGGTTAAGTCGGATTTAATGAGGCGTTCAATGGACACTGCGCTTATCAATTTGACGATAAATCTTACACTCTTGGCACGTGGTTTAAAACTTGAAGGTAGTTTTACATT